ACTCTGGCATGAAATGCAGAGGGTGGTATGCATTTCTTCCAGTAATACTAGGTCTTTAGCTAGAACTGTACTGAGGCTGACTAAAGAGCATTTTCAGTCTTAAAGGAGACCAATTATGGGTCCTAGAAATGTTTATGATATGTCTGTGGGCTATCCAGACCATGTTCATTCGATTTAATGCACAAAATAATTCTCAGATAATAAAATTTCATAATTTTCTAGTTCTGCCTTCTCTGACTTCTGTTGAGAAGAGCTGTTTATGTTAATGAGCTCTGTTGGTAACGCCCTCCAAAAATCTGTTGACATTAACTCCGCCCTCCAAAGCCAGTGTTTACGTTAGCATGGCTAAAAATAGCAGAAGCTCTGTTGTACAACCATATGAAACCCAGAGGCAGAGTCATGGTCCCAGCTTCTTTTATTTTCTCCCCTTCCTCTGCTCTGCGCTCACTCTGCATGCTGTTACCAGAGCAGGGAGCAGCAGCAGTCAAAATACCTCAGAAACTCGAACAAATAGGCTTTAACAAGGCTTTAATAAGCTAAACAATAGAGGTACATGAGAAAACGTGTTCATAACGAATGAAAATAAATAATTAAATAGTGTCCATGCCGGTCTCAAACCCTGGTCTCCCACTCTCTGGTCTAACGCTCTACCCATTGACCTATTGGAGGCTTGTTGTGAAATGAGCTGCGCATTACACAACAACAACCGTGACGGCTTTTTATACGGAGGAGGTGGAGCTTCACCCGGGGGTTGCTAGATAAGGGGCTGAACGCAGGTTCCTGTGGGTTGCCGTACAGCTTGTGACATCACAAAATGATGGAAGTATAAAAATTGTCGTTAATATACATTTAAAATACATTTACTTACAATAAATATGTCCCTGGGTGCATTTTTTTGGTCCTACGACTGTTTTTTTAAGAAGTACATACCCWAAGTGGAGTAAAAAAAAACTTTGCATAATAGATCCCCTTTAAGTCAGAGCAATAAAGCCATTACGTGAGTTTAAAAAACTGTTTTAATGATCAGTGMAAAATAAATATTTAATTTGAGCTTTTCCAGCAGGTTTCAGTCAAATTGGGCAGAAAAAGAAGAGAACATCATACAGAGGCTTTTCTAAGCTTGCAGGAGACAAACCAGTTCAGCTGAATCTGATTCTGTTTCATTGTGGTTAAACACAAAAGGCCCAGGTGATGTTCTGTCCAGCTGCAGACCACATTAGAGCCCAGTCCCATGGCCCAGCACAGAGCGAGGATTAGCTCCCTTTTATCTACTAACTGAATGGCTGAAGCTTTTTAACTCTCAGCCTTCTTTTTACTGTGCTGTCATCGTTTCTGCCRTGAAAGCAGACGCTGCTGGGTTTTTTGTGAAAAAGCAGCGACCTGACAGGCAGACGACAGATGCTGGGAAAATGTGCATCACAGCAGCAGAACAAAAGAAATRCAACTTTCAGAAGAGGGAAGTTGTTTCATGTGGCAGAATACCAGAAATAAACATTCCAGCAACCAATCATGGGCTGGAACAGCTGATGGATCATCTGACCGGTGGTTTTCTACACAGCCACACAAACTGGTTTGATAAYGTTGAAGCTGAGCTCAGGAAAGTGTTGAAACAGAAAAATGCAGCAGAGCGTTTTAGCCTTGCGGGAGTYATGCAAACTTTAGAGACACAAAACAAATCTCTGCAGTGGTTTTCTCTTTATTTATGCAAATGAGAATAGCAGACTAAAATTAAAAGCCTAGCAATAATTGAACTTGCTCACTGCCTTTCATGCAAAAGTATTAGAATAAGTACAAGCATAAGATCGTCTTCTACACATCAGACTCAGAGTTTACACTCACCGGCCACTTTATTAGGTACACCACGCTAGTACACTCTAAAAATGAAATGTTGGATTTACTTAACTATGTTATGTGACCCGGTTCCACTTAACTGAGTTGAGTAAATTCAAAGCAACATGCTCATGTTCTTTGGTTAAAAAACTG